ATACCTATGTATTCTTTTACTTTCGTATACTAATAACATATATATATATATATATATATATATAACTTTGGTCTATGAACTTCGACTTGGTTTACATATGACCTTCAACTTGGTTTACATATGACCTTCAACTTGGTTTATATATGACCTTCAAATTCGCATGTAAGTATCCCTCGACCTGGCCTTGAACCACGAGGACACATGACCTTTTATCTAACTAGAAGACTGCCGTTAGAGAACTACCTACACACAGAGAGAGAGCTAGCTACTGAGCTAGCTACTGACTTAGCTACTGACCTAGCTACCTCCAAACAACTTACGAGTTGCAAGAAAAAAACGTTACTCATTTCTATTTGCTAAGATCATTTACAGAAATTTGGTTTTATACAAATTCCTTCACTAGTCAGCACATAAGCTGCCTACTAGTTATCAATTAATGATTTTACTTAGTCTACTGGATATAATCAAAAATCACTACTTAAAACTTAATCATACGTTAGTAACAATTTCACACATGCAATATAACGATTTCACGTGCAATATCAAAATTTCACATGCAATATCAAAATTTCACATGCAATATAACAACGGCGCATGCGCTAAAACCAGAAGACATGCGGAAGCAGGTGTGCTGGCACCTTGCCAGCACATTCTGGCGTATGTAGCATAGCAAGATGCTCGCATAACGGAGAAGCATATATATACTAGCATACACATACAAAACAAAAGAACGGCGAAAACAAAAGACGACCGAAGAAGCGACCAGCTGTTCCGTTGTTCCGAACCGTCCAGAAAAATTCATCCCAAACAAAGTAGAACTGTATCGCGCCATTCCATCACCATACAGCCATTGCCTACGTACACGTGACCTTCATCAAGATAGTACATTAATTCATACATACATATATATATATGCATGTATACGTATATATATATATATATATATGTGTATATATATACTATGTATATATATATATTTATGTATACGTATATAGTATACATAAATAAATATATGTATGTATGCATATTTATATAATCTAGCTGTTCTGAAGTTTGGCAATGTGCCAATTCTCCATGACATCTAGTTAATACTTGGCATAGCTGTTGTTACTAAGCAAAAGTTTACTAATAAAGTTTCGACACGGCATCTAGACTCCTTACGAGTCTTCGCCTCTCCAGCTCACGAGATGTCTTGTGTATTGCCGCTACGATCATCCCCCCAGAACCTCATTAATCGTTAATCTCACTCAACCAATTAACAATCGTGTTGATTTGACCCCACCAATTAACAATCGTGTTGATTTGACCCCACCAATTAACAATCGTGTTGATTTGACCCCACCAATTAACAATCGTGTCGATTTGACCCACCGCGACCTTCCCAGCAACGTGTTATGCGTCTGACATGCTCCCGCTACGCTACTTCGACCGATCGACACTCGAGGGCAGCACCGTGCGTCAGAAACGAAGATGAACGAAACAAAATGGCGCGCGGGTGTGCGCTCGCGGCGACCGGTTCGCACACACCCGTCCTTCCAGGCAGCCAGCCGCATGCATGCACTGCTACGTACGATGCAGGGTCGGTATCCGTGCAGCGCGAAACTCTGATTCTCCAAAACTCGTCCGATCCTCTATAGATCGCCCCAATTCTCTTGCTGGCAACTTTTCTAGTACTATGTTTTTCTAGTACTTTTCTAGTATTTTTCTGGTGCCATACTTTTCTAGTACTCTTCTTGTATCATACTTTTCTAGTACTTTTCAAGTAGGCCTACTATACGTTTCTCGTACCATACTTTTCTAGTACTTTTCTAGTACTATACTTTTCTAGTACTATACTTTTCTAGTACTATACTTTTCTAGTACTATACTTTTCTAGCACTATACTTTTCTGGTACTGTGCCCTGCCGCACATGCGTCACTAGTTTTCTAGCTCGATGCCGCATCGAATATCTCTAGTTGATGATGTTAGTGAACGGCTCTCGGGTACGTGTTAGAATGACCAACACCAGGCCTGACTGCCCGATAAACGCAGCAATCTCTCACTGCATGATAATTCTCATCTCATCTCATCTCCAGGAGCGACAGACCGATAACCGGATCGACAGACCGACGCAAGAAGGCCGTCGAATCGCTTCTAGAGATCCGAGTTTTCTGGGACACGCGTACGAACCCTGTACCGATCGACTCGCCGGCTAACGACACAAGTGCTGCCCTCTGCTGAGCTCGTTGCTAGTTAATTGCTCGCTCTCTGTCCTGCCACCCAACCGACCGAATCAAACAAAGTTCTCTCGAAATCCGCGTTTAAATTTTGTTTAAATTAAAGAAGTTTCCCAACGCAAACATTTTTTTTACCTTCGTGTTTGTCCGCGTGAATTTTTCTGGAAAATTCCTGTTGAAAACAGGAAGTCACAAAAAAACGATTAACAGGAAGTGATGTCACAACGGCGAACCACCGAGCAAGAGTGCAGACGAGACGAGGCGGTGGAAACAAGGACGTGGCGCCCTCTAGCGGCCGCGTGTCACGTGACAGTGGCCTGCGACTGCGCGGCGCATTGCATGCAGTCAACACGCACGCCGCCGCCGCCGCCGCGCAAATAAACGCCACTCAGAGAAAAAACAATGACCACGTGAACGCGACGCCGCGGGAGCAAAGACAAGCGAGCATCCACGCGTCATCGCGTGCAGCGTTGTCTTTGCCCGTGGCGCCCTCGGCCTGACGTGGCAGCGACACGCGGGGTCCAGAGGGGGAGCAAGGGGAGCATTCACAAACACCGGGGGAGGGGTGGTGAAAAAGCACAATGAAGGCGGTGGTGGGTGTGTGTGTGTGTGTGTGTGTGAGAGAGCACTCGTCCGTGGGTGCAGGAGGACTAGAGCTGAAAAAGCACGCAAAAAATGTGAATTAATCGTATCATCAACAACAACAACAACAACAACAACAACACGGACGACTACAATAACAACAACAACAACGATGTTGACATTAGTTACTGCTAAGCAACAACAGCAACAGCGTGTGTGGGGACTGGGTGTGTGGGGACTGGGTGTGTGGGGACTGGGTGTGTGGGGACTGGGT